TTAATATATTAACCATTGTTTTTTTATTTATTATTATTTATTACATTTATTTATTGTGTGTGTGTGTGGCCAGCTCAGCCCACCAGGGGGCGGGTCTGGCTGGCATGTGGTGCTGGGGATCGAACCGCGGTCCCTGTGCTTTGCCAAGCTTGTTTCAAGTAGGTGCTTTAGACCACTGAGCCATCTCTCCAGCCCCTCATTTAGTGTTTCTTAAAGTCAGTTATTTATCTATCATACCGCACTTTTGGTCAATATAAATCAATAAATCATCAAGTGTAGGTAGAAACACTGACTCTTAGTTTAATTTTTTTAATATTTTAATACTTATTTATTTAGGCTGGCTCAGCCCACCCTGAGGGCGGGGCAAGCATGGCATGTGGTGCCAGGGATTGAACCATGGTCCCCAGCGGCTGCCTAAGCTCGCCTACGCAGGTGCTTTAGACTGCTGAGCTATCTTGCCAGCCCTCTTAGTTTAATTTGTAAGTCCCAGTTTTTCAATTTGGTGGAAATAACAAACAACTGTCCTCAGCATGGGATATTCAAAGGTGACTTAGCCACCTACCAGCCCAATTACTTAAATACAGGATGGCCAACAATTGCTTTTAGGGGGTTAATTTTTATAAGATAATATAACAGGAAATATAAAAATGACAGTTTCACCAAATTTACTTAATACAAGAATAAAAAGGTTGAAATGACACCTGTCCGAGTGACACTGGGATCTTCAGTACTTAAACACACTGCCCAAGTGATGCTCCAGGTAAACTGCTAAGTGGTTAATCTCTGTGGACAGAAGCTAGACTGTGCAGATGCAAACATGGCTTGTTGGTATACTAGAAAACACAGGTTAATACAGTAAAGCTACTACTTGCTTTTGAATTTATTTATTTATTTATTTATTTATTTATTTATTTATGGCAGAACCGGGGATTAAACTCAGGCCCTTCTGCTTGCCAGGAAGCGCTTATTCTACTGAGCCATCTCCCCGGCCACTTGCTTTTGAATTTTAAAGATGACTAATATTTTCATTAAATAAAATACAAATATGTTGATAAGTTCCATTCTGAACATGTTCTTTTTTTTTTTTTTTTTTTTTGGTTGAATGGGGGATTGAACTCAGGCCCTTGAGCTTGACAGGGAAGCACTAATTCTACTGAGCTATCTCCCAAGCCCCCATCCTGAATATGTTCTTAAAAAATTAAATAGCATTAAAGATTTCATGGGAACAAAACTAGACAACTTATTTTTCATAAACATTGATGTTATTGTGAACTTTTATATTGGTTTTTTCTTTTTGGTATGGGGGAATCAAACTCACAACCTTGTGCTTGCCAGGCAGATGCTGTGCCATTGAGCTATATCCCTGGCTCTTGCAGTATATATTTTAATCATTGTATTGTTCAGCTCTGAATAGTTTTGCCAAAACGTTAGGTGAAAAGCTTTTATATAATATATATATATATATATATATATATATATATATATATTTTTTTTTATTTTTTTTTTTTTTTAAACTTTCTAAGGACATGGTCTTGATGGCCTCAAACTCACAGGGGCCCTCCTACCTCAGCCTTCCAAGTGCTGGGGCTATAGGCATGAGCCACACCATGTGGCTGAGGTTCAGTTTTAGAAAAGTAATCAAGAGTTTTCAGCTATGTAAATGTAATGATACTGTCCCTTTTTTACATGTTTGCTCTTTGAAATTTAGAATGTACTTTTCCTTTACTACTATAAAGACAGGTTGAGTCCTTGGCTAGCTAGTTAATAGGATACTTATAAAACTTAATCTAGCTTAAAGTATCGATGGCATTAATCACATCCCATGCTTTGGAAACCAAAGGCTGAAGAAAAAGCTCAAGCAGAGCTTTCCTTTCCAACCCAGGATCAGCCCCAGGTAAAATGTCAAGCCGGCTGCCCCTGGCCTTGGAACCCTTCCTGTCCCTCTGTGGGGCCCTCTAATGTCCAGGTGGAGGTAGTCCTTGCCTTCATCGCCCACTTCTGGGCCATAAGTCGAGTCCTCTTCACAGGGGCCCTACCAGTGCCTGGCCGACTCAGGGACTTCCAGTGCAGACAGTACTGTGTTCGCTTCCCATACCCGGGCCGCAGCCACCTTTCACCAGGGGGGTTGGTACCCCAGGGCAGCCTTGGGGAAGCAGCTCAATGGATCCTCAACAAATGCACCTCCAACTCTTCCAGCTCTGTTTATACTGAACAGTAAAACTAAGTAACACAAATAATTCAAAGGGAAGTTTCAGGATTCTCACAACTTGGAATGAGAAAGCACAGGCAATGGTAGAGAAGCCCCTAAAGGGAACCAGCTGCCCTCAAAGCCTGCTGTCCCACTGTAGGGCCTTTCAACTTACAGCACCCAATCTCACTTCCTGCTTCTGAACTGAGGCGCTCCACCTGCTCCACGGCTTATCAATTTTCCCTGTGAGCAGCTCTGGGGGACAGAGGGGACTGGCTAGATACTAGCCCAGTTAATAATTCGGGGGAGCAAATTTGCATTCTAATTTACATTTGGCTGAGGATTAATTTGGAATGTATTGTATTTCATCAGGACACACCTATTTCAGGATTATAAGGGAGACCTCCTTTGATATTAAAACCTGACAGCAGATGGTATACTACAGATTAGTCACAGCTTCGACAGCTGCTTTGTTTTTCTATTCTGATAGCCAAATACACTGCAATCATTTTCTGTCTGGCTAATTTCAAATTTCACTAGAATCTAGTTTCTGAACTTTGATTGCTTGGAGATGGAGCATAAAGAGCAAAAATTTAAAAGCAAGGCACACTGAAACATGCTTACAACTGGGAGTTACTGGCACAAAGGTAACACACAATCATGGGGCACAGCAAAAACAACGTTTCCACTTTATCAGACTTTGGGGCTCTGTTCTCATAAAAATTGTCAGCAGATTTCCTATGAGGAGCAACAAAAATTATCAGGGTTTTTTGGGTATAAAGAAGTTGTTAAAAAGCAATACCCTGCTATGGCTAACATGGTAAGAACAACAACAGCACAAGATAAGAGTTTGTACGGTGAACAAGTATAAAACACCAATGTTGGAACACTAATTACCTGCAAAGGGCTCACCAGGGACCTGTGTTTAGGTGCTGTAAATGCTTTCAGAACACTGTCTTCATCTTCTGATACTGGCGTCATTAAAACAGAACTCGTAAGAATATTCTAAAGGGGAAAGAATCATTTGAAATTTAAATGAGGTCAGATAATATGAGAGCTAACACAATCTTAACACTGTAGCATAGACTACTAAGAGTTGATACCTATTAGCATGAAGAAATGTACTTATCTGCCAGAAGGTTTCTTCCCTACGAGTTAAAAGGAGAATTACCTATGTACTGGCCCTTGCCCTATTGCAGCAAACATCAGCAAAATCCAAAAGCTTTAGAGACCCAGCTGGTTGTAGGCATGTGGTGGGAACTCAGAATCCACTTGCTAAATCTATGATGTTTCATGC